TATCTCACAGACATCACTATAAACGTCTATTACAGCAATGGAATACTCAGATTAACATTCATTCCTCCTGTACCACATATGAATCAGAAAACAAGGTCTTAATGGTAGAAAAAAAATATCGTAAGGCACTACAGAAAACAGGTGCCAACCATACAGGCTGTACAGAAACATAATACGAGTGCCAAACCTACAGAGGAACCAAAAGCCCTACCCTTAAAATGGCTAACAGATGAACCTGTCTAGGTCGGGCAATGTCTTATGATCTCTGAGAAGCTAGAGGCTTTAGAAAAGCTGGTTCAGGAACAGCTAAATGCTGGGCATATCAAAGAATCTACCAGTCTGTGGAATTCCCTTATGTTTGTTATCAACAAGAAATCTAGTAAATGGAGAATGCTTACTGATCAGAAAGTCATCAATAAAGTAATTCAACCTATGGGCTCTCTCCAGTCTGGGATGTTATTGCCTTTTCTGATACCCAATGGATGGCGTATTATAGTCACTGATCTAAAAGATTGCTTCTTCACTATTCCTTTACAAGAAAAAGATAGGGAAAAATTTGCCTTCACAATACCTACCTATAACAATTCTCAACCAGTTAGGAGATTTTAATGGAAGGTTTTCCCACAGGGAATGTTAAATAGTCCTACTCTGTGCCAGTATTTTGTTCAAAAACCTTTGGAAAAAATTCACAAACAATTTCCACAATCCATAATTTGTCATTATATGGATGATATACTGTTGGCTGATTCAAAGTAAGGAATGTTGGAAAAGACGTTTGAGGCAGTAAAGGAAATTTTACCTCACTGGGGATTACAGATTGCCCCTGAAAAACATACAAAGAGGAGATTCTATTAATTATTTAGGTTACAAAATAGATCTACAAAAAAATTATACCACAAAAAGTACAGATCAGGAGAGATCATTACCAGAATCTTAATGATCTTCAAAAACTACTAGGAGAGATTTCTCAACTACAGACAATTATTGGAGTTGAAGGGCATGATTTAAAACACCTAAAAATGCCCTAAAAGGAGACAAAGACTTAAATAGTCCACGAATATTATCAGCTGAGGTTGAAAAAGAATTAAAATGGATGGAAAAGAGAATACTAGAAACACATGTGAACCGCGAGGATTCAAAACTAGACTGTATTCTGGCTATTTTACCATCTAGAGAATACCCCTCAAGAATGTTGATGCAGAGGGAAGATAATCATATTAGAATAGATATTTCTGCCACATAAACAGAAAGAAAAAACTAAAGACATATATAGAAAAGATCTCTGATTTGATTTTAAAAGGTAAATTAGGGCTTCATTAACTAACTGGAAGGGACCCAACAGAAATTATAGTACCTTTAACTAATGAAGAAATTTCTTCCTTATGGAAGGATAATGAATATTGGCAAAGGGCCTGCAGTAACTTTTGGGGAACAATTAGTAACAACTGTCCCCAAACAGAGAGAATCAAATTCATAAAGAAAACAATTTGGATGCATCCACATATTGTAATAAAAATGCCAATCTCTGGAGTCCCTACATTCTACACTGATGCAAACAAGTCAGGAAAAGCAAGTTATAAATCAGGAAATATAAGTAGTTCAAAGCCCTTACAACTCTGTACAAAAGGCAGAGTTGTACATCATTCTCATGGTACTTACGGATTGTACAGAGCCTCTCAATGTAGTTACTGAATCTCAATATGCAGAGAGCATCATCTTACACATTGAGACCACTGAATTTATTCCTCATGATGTGGAATTAACCTCATTGCTTATCCAATTACAGGAAATCATCAGAAATAGAACTCATCCTGTATATATTACACACATCAGATACCATACGGGTCTGCCAGGTCCTCTAGCACAAAGTAATGATGAGACTGATCGTTTATTAATAGGAAGTGTGCTAGAAGCTTCAAATTTTCATTAAAAAAATGCCATGTTAACAGCAAGAGCTTAAAAAGGATTTTTCTACCACTTGGCAACAAGCCAAGGAAATAATAAGAAACTGCCCCACCTGTTCATTATATAACCAAACTCCATTACCAGCAGGCAGTAATCCCAAAGGTAATCACAGAAATGAAATTTGACAAATGGATGTGTTTCACTTTCCAGAATTTTAAAGTTTAAAATATGTACACCACACCATAGATACATTTTGGGGGTTTCAATGGGCCACTGCTCTTAACTCTAAAAAGCTGATTTTATTATCACACACCTTTTAGAGGTGATGGCCGTTATGGTTGTACCTGCACAAATAAAAACTGACAATACTGTAGCATATGTCTCCAGCAAATTAGAACAGTTTTTCTAATATTATAATATAAAGTACATAACTGGTATACCATACAATCCCACAGGACAAGCAGTGGTTCAGAGATCTAACCACTTTAAAAGAACTGCTTCATAAACAGCCAGGGGGAACAAAGACCCCCAAACACAGATTACATAATGCTCTAGTAACATTAAATTTTCTTCATGCTAATGAGAAAGGGCAAACAGCTACAGAAAGACACTGGACTACAGAACTTCTAAACTAAATCAGCTGGTGTATTTGGGATGTAATGACCTCAGTGTGGAAACCAGAATATATGTTACATTGGGGAAGGGGTTTTGCCGTTAGAGTCCATCAAAATTGATCAAGATTCGATCCAAACAGGAGAAACATTGGGATGAGGAAAGATGACAGACCATCCACAAAGTCACATTCCACGAGGTGTATAGAAACCTCACAAAGGAAAGAGAAGTGTTTCGTTCTTGTCTCAACAGGAAAACCCATCTCCAAAAGGCAAGACACTGAACATATAGACACCTAAAGAGAGGATGGCTAGCCAAAAGAACCATCAAACAAAGAAAATCTGATGCTTAACATCAATGTCTAATTCTCTGAACTTATATTCTTATAAAATCTACTTCTCTTTACTTTCTAATACTCTTTTGGTCCCAATTCACTTAAGCCAATGCTGGCTTTGGAGTTGGAAATGACTCTCCTCCTCTAAATCCAAGCATGTTGTTTCAGAGTTTCTGTATTATATCAAGAAGCCAATTGATGTAAGAGAGACGAAAAGAAATCTAGGGACTGTCATTTGTCTATTCTCGGGTTCTTTCTCTGAAAGTCTAATTTCCCTCATATTTACTATCTTTCTTATTGTTGCCTTTCCTGGCATGCATACATATAAAAATTGAAATTTCCTTGTTGACATTAACCTTTAAGCTTTCCACAATTTAGTTTTGTTTCAAGACTAAATCTTTTCCTTAGACTAAAAGGGGAATTGCAGGGAAAAATATCTTAGATACCTGTGCCGCTGACCACGCCTGCTTTGGGCATGGCTACAGGTGCATTCGGACGTGGGAAATAAAGGGTGGTGCAGGGGAGATGCACACTCTCTTTTCAGGGTTCCGGTCAGGTCTTGGAATACACTGAGACCAACCTGGGTTGCTGGTCTCTCTTGTAAGTGCTGGTCTCTCTTGTAGTAAGTGCCTTCCCACAATAAATAGTCACCTTTATCCTCACTCAGTGTGCAATTTATATTTCTCTAGAATACTGTTACTCTTTCTAGGTGTCAGTTATTGGTATATAAGAAATCTCTCAGTTGGCATATTTTTCACTTAATAATCTCAGCACTGTGTAAGTGAAGATCTGGCTAAAGGTGTGTATACATGTGCATGGGTCTGCCTATGAAAATCAGAGAACAATCTCACATGTTGTTTTTCAGATGCTACTCACTGATTTGGATTGTTTGTTTTGGGACAGGGCCTCTCACTGGTCCCACTGGTTTGACACTCTGAGTAGGCTATGCTGGCTGACCTGAGCTGCCTGTCATCTGCCCAGTGCTAGAATTAAGAGTTGTATCCTCACACCCAGCTCTGTTTATGTGGGTTCTCGTGTTTGCAAGACAAGCACTTTACTGACCTATCTATGCTTCCAGTTCTTATATGCCTCCTTCCATAGCAACCACAACATTTAGAATACTATTTTATACTAAAGTGAGAAGAAATGTAAAGTCCTGTTCCTTTACTTGAATTTTCATTCTCTTAACAAATACTTTTCAAGTATCCAAGAGGCATGAGGTGGTGAATACCATGGCTGACATTCCACTTTTTATTACAATTCTGGCTGGTGAAATAGATGTCTTTGATCAAAAATTTAACTTTGAATGCTGTAGATGTAGTGCTCATCAATAAAACATTAGCTACAAAAAGCAGCTTCTGAATCCAATTGTCTGCAGTTTTCTGCAGTTTCACCCACCTGAGACTCCCTAGGCCTTGGAATTTCTTCTGCTAAGAATGGAGCAGAAAAAGTTCCCTTCCCTGGGGGCTGGAGAGATGGCTCAGTGGTGAAGAACACTCACTGCTCTTCCGGCACTCAGCAGTTCAGGTATCTGATGCCCTCATACATACAGACAGACATGCAGGCAAAACACCAATGTATATGAAATAAAAATATTTTAAAATGTACATGGAAGGTGGGATAGCCAGGATGAATTGCATATTCTGCCTCCCTCCCATCAGGGCCAGCCTAAGATCACTGAAACAGCTCTTGAAATCATGGCACTTTTATTTTTATTTAAATAAAACAGCTGTGTGTGGTGGCTCATGTCTGTAATCCCAGAATTTGAGAGGCTGGAGTAGGGGGACTCCCAGAAGGTCAAGGTCAGCCTAAACTACCGAGAGTTCCAAGCCATCTGAGGATATTGAGTAGACCTTGCCTCACAAACAAACAAAAAAAATAGATAACAAAAATTTACAAGGTATAGACTGGGAATTTGTTCTCACATGACAGATAGTATTTTGTGACATTTTTTGTTACCAAAACACAGGTACTAAGTAAAGATGACATGTGAAAATGCAAATTAAATAACTAATTTCCATTTTTACTGTGTTATTTTTGTAGTTGCTTAAGTTAGAGTTTTGCTGTGGAGCCTTCCCTAACTGACCTAGAATGTCCCAGGACTAGAATTGTAGAGACAGGAGGATCCCTAGAGGTCATTGTTTGGTCAGCCTACCACAATCCATGAGTTCCATATTCCCTAAGACTGCCTCAAGAAAATAGGGGGGCAGGGACAGCAAGATGGCTCAGTGGGTAAGAAGCTTGTGCCAGCCTGAGTACCTAAATCCAATCCCCAGAAAACACATGGTGGAAGGAAGAACTGACTCTCACTGGTTGTCCTCTGATTTCTGCAGGCATGCCATAACACAGGCCTCCAATCGCCACAAAAGATGCCTGATATTGGCCTGTGGCCTCCACATGTAAGTACATAATGTGCATGTGTACCTACATGCACACACTCACATAAAAATTCAAGAGCATCCTTGGCTACAGAGCGGTTTCAAGATCAGATAGATACATGAGACCCAACCATGAAACAAACGTTAATAAAAAGCCCCATGAAACAGCTATCCCAGCATGACAGAAGGCTCTCTGTACCAGTGCAGTTTTTTATACAAGAATCTTCCAGGGAAATTAGCATATAAATGCAGAAAAAAATGAAATGAAAAATAAAAATCACTTCCCATCACTTGATGCTAAACAAGCTAATACTAACACCCTGGTATAGCAGTATTGTGCATTTTAACTCAATGCCCTATTACTTTATATAAAGTTAGGCTCTACAGCAGAAATGGATAGCAGGCCATACCAAACTAGCACTCTCCCCCTAGTGTACAGTTGCAGATAGGTACAGGTTGCCTGCTGGAGAATTCTGGAATCTGGAAGCATATGGGACCATGTGAATGGTTCTTACCAGTGTCACCCAAAGCAACATGCAGCTGATTTTTTTTTAAATTGACCCAGCATAACAGCTAGTGTTTCCTAATTCATACAAAATTATACTCTAGCCATGCTTGTAACTCCTGCACTAAGGAGGTGGCAGCAGGAGTGTCAAAAGTCCTAAGTCACTCTGGGTACTACACAGCAAGAGTTTGTCTCAATGTTTCCTCTGCCCAGAACATACACACACACCTCCCCCCCCATTTCCTCTATATATTTGTATACATATATATTTGTATAAACCACTGACAAATTTCAAGTTTTTAAAGGTTGTATGTTTACATAGCCTAAAAAAAAAACCATCATAGCAAATCTCACTGCTAACCTGTCACCCCTGGACCCAGAAGTAACCACTTTTACTAAGTACTGATTCCACATATAAATTCATATGCGCTAAACCTTCCCTTTTAAACATAAAAGATGCATGCTACACAGTATCAATGTTTTCTTCCTTGATTCTTTTATCCTACAAGATATCCAGAAATTTTTCTATATCAATTCATAGCTTTCTTGCTTCTTACACCTCAATTAACCAACAGGACAAACACTGAAAAACCATTTTACTCTAGGCAATCAGGCTATTTCTAGCAAATTACACAAGGAATCATTGCATACATATAAGGTTTTGTACATGCAGGTGTAGGCAGGACCAGGATGGCACTAGATGGAAACACCTGCATCTGTAATTACGAATCTATTTCCCTCCCAAATCTTGCTTCCCTCAATGTAAACAGAGTTAGAATTAATATAAGCCTCTGTGTGCTTATTTGGGTCTAAACAACTGTGGGACCAGATGGGACAGAAACTCCATCTACACCTCAAAAACAAAATAACAAAGCAACTGCCAATCTGATGGGTGGAAATGGCCATCTTGGTGTATTTTCAGCTTCTCTAAGAATCAAAAGTAGGGCTAGGAGTGTAGCTAAATGGTAGAGCAATTGCCTGTCCATGTATGAGGTAGGGGAAGCATGTAGTGAAGAGAAGAAACAATACGTATTTGAGTGTCCTTTCATATGCTGAAGTGTTTTGTTTTGCTTTTTGTTTTTGTTTTTCAAGACAGGGTTTCTCTGTATTGCTTTGGAGGTTGTCCTGAAACACACAGAGATCCGCCTGCCTTTGCCTCCTGAGTGCTGAGATTAAAGGTGTTCATCACCAACACCTGGCTTGTTTTGCTTTTTAGTTAGGTTTTTGCACAATATCCATGGCAATTTGATCTTCTTTCTTCTCAGTTACTAGAAACTTTAAAAATGTTTAAGACTTGTTCATTTTACATTATGAGTGTTTTGCCTGTGTGTACAATATGTATGCCTCATGTCCTTGTAGGATCAGAGCCACTGGAACTGCTCTTAATTGCTAAGACATCTCCCCATCCCAATTCCTAGAAGCTCTTCTTTTTAGAGCAGCTAGCTCCTTGTAACTATTTCTTTTATGATTCCATACATTATAAAAGTGTTCTTATGTTTAAAGTAAAATTTAAGTGGAACATGGTGACCCATGCTTATACTCCCAGCACTTGAGAGGCTGAAGCATAGCAAAGACAAAAGCTTGTGTTCAAAACAAAAACAAAAAAAGGAAAGGGAAAAAAGACGTAAACATGAGAGTTTTGAATAGACTGGTTTTAGAATCAAGACTCTTAGTGTAGCCACAAAACAGAAATGTAATGTGCATTCTCCCCACCAGCCTTGTCCCAGAGTTTCGTCAGTCCCAAATGAACACACAGGATGCTATATTGAATTATGAAGCTGTTGGTCATTTGCTATGGCTTCTTAATGGCTAGCTGTGACTTAATTATTAACCCATAATTACTAATATCTTACCTAGAATGCAGCCTCATGCGTCCTCTCTTCCCAGGATCACATGGCGACTCTCTACTCTTGACTACATTTTCCAGAATCCTCCTTGACTCCTAGTCCCACCAATCTTGCTTCCCTATCGGCCAACAGTGCCTTATTTATCAACCAATAAGACAACATATACACAGAAGGACTTCCCCCATCACAGGAACATCTAACTTGAGTTCCTTTGCCTTTGTACCTCTCATCATGGAGGTGATTTGGGCTCTAATTTATAGTTAGGAGAACTTTCTCCCAAAGAATACGAATATATTATATGCCACTCCAGAAACTACCTTAGTCTCAGAATCAGCTTGGAGAGGACCCACCAAAAAAAAAATCAGTGTTCTCATTTGGAATATAGTAATTAGTGTCTATAGCATAACATCATAATGAAGACCATTATGTTGTTTAATTAACATATATTAATAACATTTTCATAATAAAGGCCTCCTCCAACATCAAGACTATAAAATAATTTGATTCATATTTTCTTCTAGTACTTTTTGGCTTCACTTAACTCTAATCCATTTTCTCACTTAAAAAAAATTCAGGGTCCTACTATGTAGCCCTGGCTGTCCTGGAAATCTCAACACAGATCAGGCTGACCTTTTTTGTTTGTTTGTTTGTTTGTTTTTTTGAGACGGGGTTTTTCCTGTGGCTTTGGAACCTGTCCTGGAAATCACACTGTAGACCAGGCTGGTCTCAAACTCACAGAAATCTGTCTGCCTCTGCCTCCCAAGTGTTGGGGAATATTATTTTAAGGTGTGTGACTTTTGTTTATGCTGCATTTGTTTAACTCTGTGAAGCTACGTTACTGGGCCTGCCTAAAACACCTGGTGGTCCTAATAGTGAAGCAATAGCAAGAATAGGCGGGACTGGCAGGCAGAGAGAACAAATAGGAGAAATGAGGACCAGGAAAAGCGAGAGAAGGATGTCAGAGGCCAGCCATCCACAGAGTAAAAAGGAAAGTAAGATATACAAAAGTAAAAAAGATAAACGCCCAGAGCAAAAAGACGGGTTAACTTAAGATTTTTAAAAAGCTGGCTAAAAGTAAGGCAAACTAAAGTTGGGCATTTATAACTAAAAACAAGTCTCCATGTGTGATTTATTTGGGTGCTAGGTAGTGGGCCCCCTCAAAAAGACCAAAGAGTAAAAAAAAATTTTAAATAAATAAAATGGCACCAATTTGTCTTTTGTTTTGTTTTTTGCTGCTGTTGTTGTTGCCTTTTACGCTACAGCTATCTTATTTAGCAACTTATCACTCCTACCATTTGAACAGTGGCTAGGCTGCAAGAGTCCAAGCCTGAGGGAAATCTGCTCCATCAGGCACTGACTCTTTTAAAGTTACTAAGAAAACCTAAGTCTTGATTTTGCTAAAGAAGTCAAAATTCAAAGGTTGAGGTAGAACCCTGTTTTCAAGAGAGGTTAAACAGCAAGCAGCTCACCTCTTTGCTTCTCCCAAGAAGTCCTTATGCTGTTTCTCACCCCTCCTTGTAAGCCCTCCTCCCCCTGGCTCCTCCCTACAACTTCCTGTCAGCTAGTAGCTAACCCAGTCTCCTGACCGCAGGTGAAGTTTATTTAATCAAACACATCTTTGCATCATTAAACAAATGTTCAGACTATAAACAAAAGTAACACACCTTAAAAGAATATTCTGCAACACCCAAGTGCTGGGATTAAAGGTGTGTGCCACCACCGCGGGGCACCCCTTAATTTTTGTAGAATTGGTAATAACATCTCCCCTTTAACATCTGATTTTAGTAATTTGAATCTTCTTCCTCTCAGTTTATCTCACTGAAAGTTTGTTCATTTTATTGACCTCAAAGAACTAATTTTTGGAATGAAAAGATGGCTCAGCAGGTAAGAGCACACTGGCTGCTCTTCCACAGGTCCTGAGTTCAATTTCCAGGAACCCCATGGTGCTCACAACCATCAATAATGGGATCCAAAGCCCTCTTCTATCTGATGCCCTCTTATGTCATGCAGGAATAAATGCAAACAGAGCACTCATAAATATACATACACATAAATAAGTCTTAGCTGGGTGTTGGTGGCATACACCTTTAATCCCAGCACTCTGGAGGCAGAGGCAGGTGGATCTCTTTGAGTTCGAGGCCAGCCTGGTCTAGAGAGTGAGTTCCAGGACAACCTCCAAAGCAATACAGAGAAATCCTATCTCGAAAAGCCAAAAAAAAAAGTTATAAAAAAGAATTTTTTACTTTCACTGATTCTCTTTTTTTAATTTTATTTCTTTCCGGATTTATTTTCTTCTGTTAAATTTGAGTTTAATTTGCTATTTTTCTAAGTCCTTACATTGTAAAGTTAGATTGCTAACTTGTATGTATACATGTGTGTGCACACATCTGGAGGCCAGAGATCAGATACCTTTTCTCAATCTCTTTCCACCTTACTTTTTTCTAGATAAGGTTTCTCACAGAACCTGTACCTCACTGACTTGGATGGCCATCAAGACCTAGGGGTCCTCCTGCCTTTCTCTTCCTTGTACTGTAATTACAGATATTCCTTTGCCTGGCTTTTTAAAAATGTGGGCTCTGGGGACTGAACTCGGGTTGCTGGGCTTGGCATTGAGTCCTTTACCCACTAAACCATCTTGGCAGTTCCAATCTTTCTTTTTCTCATTTCCTTTCCAGATAGCAGAAATGTAGTTCCAAGCAATTTAGACTCGAAGCCAGGATTTGAGACCCCCACCACCCCTCAAGATTAGTACTAGGGGGCTGGTTCCTCTCTCTTTAGCACCTGAAGCTTTGTTTGCTGCCCAGGTTGGCACTTATCTAAGGAAGACCTATCTGCTGGACAAAGCCTGCTGTGCAGCCCACATCTTACATCAGGTAGCAAGTTGATAGTTGAGGCTCCAAAACTGGGCATGGTGATGCACACCTTTAATCCCAGCACTTGGGAGGCATTCTTCCCTTTGTTTTTGGAAGAAGCCTCAGTTACTGGCAAAATGGTAACCTTGGCCTCACCCAAAAGGGACCATTGTAATAAGAGTACCATTTTATTTTCTTGCCTAAGGTTCTGTTCTTGTTGGCCAGAATGGGAACATGCAGATCCTAAAGTTATGGGATATGATTTGCTACTCTCATCTTATCCCCCCTTTTTGGGGGGGGGGTTCAAGACAGGGTTTCTCTTTGGTTTTGGAGGCTGTCCTGGAACTAGCTCTTGTAGATCAGACTGGTCTCGAACTCAGAGATCCGCCTGCCTCTGCCTTCCGAGTGCTGGGATTAAAGGTGTGTGCCACCACCGCCGGGCTCCCTTTTTTCTATAGACCCCATTGCCTTCCCATATGCCCTGGGCTAAAAGAAGAAACAATTATTTTTATTTCTTAATAGGGCATAGCAAATACGAAAACACTCTGTTCTGATATATAAAACTGACCCAACTGGAAGCTCAGAAAATAGTAACAGCTATTAGGGTCACATGTTTGAATGCGTCTCCTCTAAAGTTCAGGTGCTGCCTATGTGAAAAGATGGCCTTTGTGAGATTATACCATGAGGGCTCCTCCTCCACAAACCCATTTAAGGCACTTACACAGGAGGCTTCAGACGCTTCACCAGCTTGCCTTTCTGCTTTTACCATTTGAGCATATAGCATCAAGGTGTGTAAAATCTTAAACGTGGACAACTGCCTATACCAGACCTGCTAGAACTTTTGTTTTGGACTTTCAAGCCTCTAGAACCATGAAAAAATAAACTTCTCCTGTGAAAAATAAACTTCTGTTCTTTACAAATTACCCAGTTTATGGCATTTTATTACAGTAACAGAAAACAGACTACAGTATCTGCAAAAGAAAGAAATGCAATAAACTCTCTGTATGTGGAGGTTTCTGATTCTAAATAATCACATGACTTTAATCCCAGTACTAAGGGGGTAGGGGATGGGGCCAGAGGCAGGCAGACCTTGTGATTCTGAGGCCAGCCTAATCTACAGAGTGAGTTCTTGGGCAGAGAAACCCTGTCTCAAAAAACAACAACAAAAATTTAAGCCCAATAATCACTTAAACTGAGGAGTTCAAGGTCAGTCTAGGCATCACAATAAGAACCCTTCTCAAAAAAGGGAGTTGGAGAGATAACTCACTAAAGTGATTGCTTTTCACAAGGACATAGATTCAATCCCTAAAACCCATATTTTAAAAAAAAATCAGGTTTCATGGTACAAGTTTTTAATCCTAGCACTGTGAAGATGAAAATGTGGTAGACCCTGGAGCTTGCCAGGCAGCCAGCTTAGTTTAGTTTACATGGCAAGCTCAAACCAGTGATAGACCGTGCCTCAAAAAATCAAAGAGGACAGTACCTGAGGAATGACACTAGGAGTTGACCTCTGCTCTCCACATGAACATGCATGCACATACACACACAAACCAAAAGAAAAAAAACCAAACAAACAGAGCTATGTATCTGTTACCAAGCAGAGTAAAAAATTACCTGATCTTCAATACTATTTGTATAGCACTCATACAAAATGTGTGGTAGAAAATTCTGAAACCTGTGGTTAATGCAAAAATACAAGGACATGATCTAAGTTAGCAATGTTTAACAGTATTGACAAGCATCATAAAATCTAGGTAAAGCTAGACCTGATGGTACAGGATAGAATTCAACTACCTGAGAAGCTTGGGAAGGAGGTTTGCAAGTTCTAGTGAATTCAAGGCAAAGTAATGAATGCCACCAAGTATCAAAAGGAAAAGAAAGTAAGGACTCAGGCTGTAGCTTAACAGTAGAGCTCTACTATAGTATTATACCCCAATGTTGTAGGGCTAACACTAGGCAAAAATAGGTGTTTCCTGTGAACTTCTTTTACATTTCAGAAGTAGTAGATGGGGTAAACAGATGGTGGAAAACCATAGAACTTTATTCTTACATACTAATATGATCATGTTGAAATCTTAGTACAGCCAGGAAGGGAGGAAGCATAGATCATGCTCCCATTGTAGAGAAATGGAAAATGAACTCAGTGCTATCAAATGCCATGCCTAGGTCTGGCCTCTGCGTGGCAATGAGCCTCAAGTTCAGCCCACTCTTTCCATTCCACTGAATCCTCATTTGGAATGAAAAAGCATAGCCAGAAATACACAAAAACATACAAAGGAAACTTGACCTTGCCTTCTCCATGGTGTTTCAGATTACCTGACAAGGCTCACAATACCAAAGGCAGTAGGAGTAAAACTCAGAATTCCACCACAGACTAGACCAAAGTCAGATATTTTCCTTCCAAACTCTAATGCGAAAGTACTGTAATGTGTATTTAGTTTTAAAAACAGCTTTATTGAGACATAATTGACACACACAGTGTGTAAAGGTATATAACCTACTAAGTTGAACTTAAATTATTGGGAAACCAACAAGCCTGTCTGTCATCCTGTTTCCAGTCCCTCTCAAGCCTCCCTCTCAATCCCTCCAGTTGGCTCCAACTTCAGGTGTCTATGGATCTACTTTCTGTCACTAGAGAAAAACGTGGATTTTTTTTCTTCATGCATTATATTTGGGGAATCATGTTCTTCACTCAACGTTGCCCCTGCCTGTGGCTGTTTTACTCTTTTGGCTTTTGAGGGGGGTCACCACCAGCTCCCAAATAAATCACACAGAGAGGCTATTCTTAGTTAGGGATGCCCGGCCTCAGCTAGGCTTATTTCTTGCAAGCTTTTCTCAACTTAAATTATCCCCAACTACCTTTTACTTACAGGCTTTTTCCATGGCTGGCTGGAAGGCTGGCCCCTGACAACTTCCTCTTTTTCCTCGTTTCTCCTTCTATTTATCCTCTCTGCCTGCCAGCCCCACATATCCTTGTCCCTGCCTCACTATTGGCCGTTCAGCTCTTTATTAGGACCATCAGGTATTTTAGACAGGCACAGTAATACAACTTCAAAGAGTGAAACAAATGCAGCATAAATGAAAGTCACACATCTTTACATCGTTAAACAAATATTACAGAGCATAAACAAATGTAACACACCTTAAGATAAAACACCTGTTAATATTCATTTCTCTCTTTTAAGCCCTTAATTTTATTAGAGCAGTTTTGGGTTGACAACAAAATGGAGCAGAAACAACAGAAATTTTCCATATACTCCTCTCTATATACATACCTACACCCCTCTCCCACCAGCATCCCCTGCAGAGGAGAGCATTTGTCAGCTGAAGAACCTGAATCAACACATTGGTACCCAGAGTTCATAGTTTACATGAGGATCCATACTTGCTGTTGTACATTGAGCATTTTTATGAAACACATTCAGATTGGCAGAATAACAGTTTTTGATGAGTTAGCTTGTTTGTTTTTGTTTTACTCTGATGCACCACTGTGTGAATACACCAAGATCCACACTCTGAACTGGGACAATAGAAAAGATATCGTGAAGACCCCAATCTATCAAAAGCTCCAGGGCATAAAAATATAAATTAATGTTGAAGAAAAATGGAAGAGAATGCCTAAGAAGACAGAGCACCCAGGACACCTTATCGAAGCAGGGTCCCTTAAAAGAATGTTTTCCTGGAGCTAGAGGGGTGGCTCAGCAGTTAAGAAGAGCCAGGTTCAATTCCCAGCACTCACATGGCAGCTCACAACTGTCTTTAACTCTAGGTCCAGGGGAGCCGACATTCTCACACAGACATACTCAAAGACAAAACACCAATGAACATGAAACCAAAAAGAAAAATGTTTTCCCAAGTTCATCTGCAAATACACAGAGGCTGATACAACTATGGTTCAAAGTGGCCAGGCTACATTTCAAGACAGAAACACAACTTGGAGTCATCCTGCAGGCATGAAAAATACAAGTGTTGTAGGATAATGAGGTTTGCATCAAGGTTCAGGAAAGTCACTTGGTCAGGCAATGTATGGCATTGAATGGAACCCCTGAGTGGGCCATTTATAAAGCTATGAATATGAAGCCCAAGCTACAATAGATACAGACTCCAAGGTGTTGCAGATGCTAGGAATGAGGGTTATCACCAGGGAAAGCTATTCATACCAAGTAGAGTCAGCTCATGACAAATGTCATAAATGTCACAGGTAATAGAGCTGGAGGGTCATGGCTACCCAATGTCTAGTCATTGGAGACTAGACAATGGTACCATGAGCCCTAAATGCTGAACCTGAACTACAAAAATTTGTTTTCCCTGCTGGGTTTTGGTCTTAGACTGTCTGATATCTCTTTGCTATGTCCCCTCTCTTTTAGAATGGGAATGGTTTCTCTGTGCTACTATATATTGGAAGTATGTAACATTAAAAAGAAAATCTTACAGTGGCTCAAGTTAAGAGAATGCTTTGAGTCAAAGCAGGAGACTTTGAACTTAACCTTCTGAATAATGTTAGGAGGTACTCTGGAAATCAGATAAATTATGAGATACACAGGAGTGGGTTTTGGGGGGGTGAACGGGAATGTGAAGGGAGGAGATACAGTATTGCAGACTAACAGAATGTGTTTGAAAACTGACAAGGAGTGGGCTTGTGATGACTAACACAATGTCAAATTTAGGACCCCCAAAGAGATTGAAACAACTACGCTGGAGGATCTGTGAGAATGTTTCAGAGAAGATTAACCGAGGAAGAAAGACCTAACCTGAATACGGAACCATCCCACGGGCTAGGATGGAGTAAGAGTGGAAAAAGAAAGTGAGCTGCATTCATCTCTCCCCAGTTTCTATTCAGCTCCATGTAAACCAGCTGCTACATGAGCTGTGAGCAGCTCTGGCAGCCATGCTTTCCCTGTCATAGTAGATCATACTCTCTGAAAACTGTGAGCCAAAACAAACCCCCCTTCCCTAAGGTGTTCTGTCTGATGCTCTGTTTCAGCACTAAAACAGTAACTACTACAATTCTGTTACTGTAATCAGCAAAAGAGCCGAAATGTTTCCTTTTGATTTTATTACAACATATTTTCTTAGAAAGAACAAAAGAATAAACCCATTAATATGATTAATTTCCCAACACTAGTAGCTGAATTAAATAGTTCTTATCTTTCAAGTAGATTTTTTTTGAGACAGGGTTTTGCTGCAGAATATTCATTTATACTGTGAAGATGTGTTGCTGTGATTGGTGTAATAAAGAGTTGAATGGCCAATAGCTGGGCAAGAAGAGATTAGGCAGGAGCCGGGCGTTGGTGATGCATGCCTTTAATCCCAGCACTCGGGAGGCAGAGGCAGGCGGATCTCTGTGAGTTTGAGGTCAGCCTGCTCTACAAGAGCTAGTGCCAGGACAGCCTCTAAAACAATACAGAGAAACCCTGTCTCGAAAAACCAAAAAAAAAAAAAAAAAAAAAAAAAAAAAGAGAGAGAGAGAGAGAGAGAGATTAGGGAGGACTTCTGGGAAGAGAGAGAACTCAAGAAGAAGAAGAAGGGGGAGTCGCCAGCTGGACTCAGAGAAAGCAGAGCATGTAATAGGAAAGGTAATAGCCACAAGCCACATACATGGCAGTGTGTAGATTTAAAAGATGAGTTAATTTAAGTTATAAGAGCTAGTGGGAAAAGCCTAAGCTAAGGCCAAGCTTTCATAATTAATAAGTCTACATACTGTTATTTGAGAGTTGGTGCTTCAGAAAGACTCATTACAGGGTTTCTCTGTGTAACAGCTCTGGCTGTCCTGGAACACATTTTGTAGACCAGGCTGGCCTCAAACTCACAGAGATCTGCCTGCCTCTGTGTCTGCGTGCACCACTGCATCCAGGTAGGTGGAAATCTTAACAACCTTCAAAATCTTATTCCAACACAGTTGGTACAAGGTGCAATCACACTACACCTCTGAAAACTTCAAGGCCTTAATGAAATGCGCAACAACAACCTCTAATGTCTCTTTTGTTTTCAAAGAAGAAAACAAAAATCATGAGGATTTTGTTGGCAGAGTTGAACAGTTACGTATCCTACTGTGGGGTCTGCTTTGTGTTTGTGGTGGGAAGACAATGTAGGGTTCTGGCAGTAACAAAAATAAAGATTATCAGAGGTGGGGCTCATTTTAAGGCTTCACACATGGCCATGATTTCTATCTTATTCTTGGTTTTTTTGTATTTGTTTTTGCACAGCACTTCATCGCACTGTTGAAACTTTACTTGGTATTTATATCTGCCTTTTGGCTGTGCTTCTTCACAAGTCTGTAAGCTCCATACAGACTAAGGCTTACCCACTCTCATGCCATGTTTTAGTTCTATTAACTAGCCTTCAAGGAAGGCTAAGTGAAAGCTACTTGCTAAATGAGTGAAAGAAGATACAAATCCCATTTTCAATATGCACCACACAGTTAAAACTCTGGAGGAGAATTTCACTTCCCTGTTATCTTTCTGTACTTTGATTCTCACTATAGGATTATAGGGTCTTTACTACTTTGGAATCAGATACAAAGTAAGGAGCTGAATGAGACAGTGATGGCCCCTGAGCAGCCTCTCACCAAAGCTATGTCATCTCCTGGGTGACTTCACACCTAGAAATCCTTCCCTGGGCCCTACAAAATCTTTCCATTTTTCCCTTGAGACCTTGGGGAGACACTGGCAGGCTTCCACATACCTTACACTGGTTCAAGAGGCTCTTCTGGAATCTTAAGCTAGATATTAAGTGTTCTACAATGGTGATCTTTGTTATTTCTCATTTTTAAGGCATCATACATAGCCATGTTTGAAGGGTCCTGATATAACATGCTTTATCGGAATGCCGTGTGTCCCTAACTGTGAGACTTTCTGTTTTATTTCTAGACTGTGTAGCTGTGAGTGATGTTCTTTGCATTACATCATTTGAATGAAGGAAGAGGCCAAAAAATGGATGCTTTTAACATAAAAATATTGGAATAAATGGGTCTTTAAGAAAGAATGAAATGCCAGCAGTGGTGGCACACGCCTTCAATCCCATCACTCAGAAGGCAGAGACAGGCAGATCTCTGAATTTGAGGCCAGCCTGGTCTACAGTGCATACCTGTAGTCCCAGCACTTGAGAGGAAAAGTCAGGAAGATCAGGAATTTAAAGCCACCCTTGGCTACAAAAGATCAAATGTCAAAAAAGAAAAAAGGAAGGACATCAGAAAATCAAGCATAGTGATGAGACAATGCCTGTTGTAATCACAGTACTCAGGAGGTTAAGGCAGAAGAAAGATGTCTTAGGGTTTTCTATTGCTGTGAAGAGACACCAACCATGACCATGGCAACTCTTTGAGACAGGGTTTCTCTATATTGTTTTGAAGGCTGTCCTGGAACTCACTCTGTAGACCAGGCTGGCCTTGAACTCACAGAGATCCACCTGCCTTTGCCTCCCGAGTGCTGGGATTAAAGGCGTGTGCCACCAATGCCGGGCTGACCACGGCAACTCTTATAAAGGAAAACATTTAATTGTGGTGGCTTGCTTACAGTCCAGAGGTTTAATCCATTATTGTCATGGTGGGAAGCAAGGCAGAATGAGGGCAGACACGTTGCTCAATAAGGACCTGAGAATTCTTACATCTTGACTCACAGGAAACAGGAAGTAGTCTAAGACACTGGTGTGATTTGAACATATATGAGAACTCAAAAGTGACACATTTCCTCCAACAAAACCATACATACTCCAACAAAGTCACACCTCCTAATAGTGCCACTCCCTTTGGGGGGGCTATTTTTTTTTCAAACCATCACAGAAGGCAAGTTTAAGGTAAGCTTGGGCTATATAACAAGATCTGAAAGAAAAACATGAGTGAGAGCAGACAGTCTCTAGACACTCTTGTGTTCTCTCTAAGCCATAGCACTGATCAAAATATTGCATGTAAGAGCTGATGGCTGCCATCCATAAAGCTGAAAAACAAGATTCCTTAGGGGAAGGTATCCTCTCCTTGCATCACCAGTTGCTTTCACAGTACCTGGAAAAGCATAGTAACCGAGGAATACAATAACGCATAGGTACCTGACATTAATGTTACTTTCAGGCAAAGCTACGAGGATATTTCAGGATTGAGAATGGCACAGCTCAAAGACAAAAGAACATAACGTGTCTGCTACACATGCTATTAAAAACAATGGAAAATCAACATCTTAATCTTTTCTAACGTCCTCTCTAGTGAGGACCCTACATTTTTACCTTTCCATTATATGAGTAGTCACTCAATATATTCAGTCCTTTATGGAACTTGCATTAGTCTGAAAACAGCTGAAGACAATTTAACTTTTTTTTCTTCACTTTAAAGTGCAAGACCACTTCTTCCCAGTTTCAAGAACCAATACAAGATCAAAGCACACCTTTAATCCCAGTACTTGGGAGGCAAAGGCAGGAGGATTTCTGCATTCCAGGATAGTCTGGTCTACATAAAGCAAATTCCAGGAAAGCCAGAGCTACACAGAGAAACCCCGTCTCAAAACAAAATGAAACCGCCGGGCGTTGGTGGCCCATGCCTTTAATCCCAGCACTGGGGAGGCAGAGGCAGGTGGATCTCTGTGAGTTCAAGGCCAGCCTGGTCTACAGAGCTAGTTCCAGGACAGCCTCTAAAACAATACAGAGAAACCCTATCTCGAAAAACCAAAACACAAAACAAAACAAAACAAAAAAAAAGATCAAAACACTCCTCGCTCTGCTTCTATCCCTTCACTGGCAGTCCTTCTCTATCTCCATCTCTTTCTTTTTACAGCACTGAGGATCAAACCCAGGGCCTTGAGCATGCTAAGTGCTCTCTACCACTCAGGCCATACCCCCAGGCCCTCTCCTTCATCTTGACAAACGGATGGAACAAGTGGCTTAAAGATCAAGGGAGTAGTTTTGTAATAAAGGTGAACAGACTTGACATGTGACTTCTTGCTTGAAGCTACTCTACTTCCTGAGTTCTCTCTCTCTCTCCATATGATGCATATAACAACCTGGATGTGATCCTCATGGTGTCTGGAACCCCAGGACTGAATGGGGCAAACAAAGGAGAATTACTAGGGCTTGCTGGTTGCCAGATGAAAAACGAAGGCTTTAGGTTGGGGAGAGACTGTCTCGAAGGACTAAGGTGGAGAATGACAGGAGGGCACTCACAGGTAAATGTGGAGGAAGGGTTAGAACATGGTAATAGGTTAAGGCTGGAATAATTTGAAGAAAGGTGGAAAAAGTCCTATATTTTCATGAGCAAAGCATTAGGGATAATTCTGGTAAGGGCTCAGAAAAGAGTTTCAACAGAAAGATCCACAGCTAAGCACTGGACCAAGATCCCAGAGTCCAGAAAAAGAGAGGAGGGAGGGATTATATGAGCAAAGGGGTCAAGATCATGATAAGGAAACCCACAGAGACAGCTGACCTGAGCCAGTGGGACCTCACTGACTGGACTGCTAGCTGGACTGCATAGGACTGAACTAGGCCCCCTGAATGTGGGTGACAGTTCTGTGGCTTAGGCAGTCTGTGGGGCCACTGGCAGTGGGACCAGGGAGTACATGAAGTGACTTTTTGAGTCCATCCCCTATGGAGAGATACCTTGCTCAGCCTTGATTTGGCGGAGGGGGAGACTTGGTCCTGCCTCAACTTGATATGCCAGACTTTAACTCCCCATGGGAGAACTTATCCTTACTGAGGAGTGGCTCGGGGAGTTGGGTGGGGGGGGGGGGAGGAGTAGGAAGAGGGTAGGGAGAGGGAACTGTGGTTGGTATGTAAAATAAATACTTTTTGGGGGCGGGGTTTCAAGGCAGGGTTTCTTTGTGGCTTTGGAGGCTGTCCTGGAATAGCTCTTGTAGACCAGGCTGGTCTCAAACTCACAAAGATCTACCTGCTTCTGCCTCTTGAGTGCTGGGATTAAAGGTGTGTGCCACCACTGCCCGGCAATAAATGAATAAATAAATAAATAAATAAATAAATAAATAAATAAATAAATAAGAAAGACAAAAAAGAGCTTCAGGGGCCAGGTGATGGTGGCACACACCTTTAATCCCAGCACTCGGGAGGAAGAGGCAGGCGGACTTCTGTGAGTTTGAGGCCAGCCTGGTCTACTGAGCGAGTTCCAGGACAGGCTCC